TAATAAAAGCTTCTTATTTAGTTTATATTTAATATTTTAAAAACTAATATTACTTTTTATAAATAATTATAAAAAAAGAATATAGAATTCCTAAAATACTTAACTAGAATATATTTAAAGTTTATTAAAGTTATAATAAATATTCTATATTTTATTAAGGTTAGAATATAGCTTTTTTAAATAGAAATATAGCTCTAAGAACTAATAATACTAATTCGAATTATTTTTATTTATATAAGAATTAGTTAGAATAAAAGTATTATTTATAAATTTACTAGAAATATAAATAATCTTAAGATTCTCTAGGATTTATAAATTAGTATTTCCTTATAGCTTATTCTTAATCTAAACTAGCTAGTTATTAAAAATAATATAATTTCTAATAAAGAGAGTTAGATCTAGAAGCTTAGTAACTCTAATATCTTTAAAGGAAATATAAAATATAAGAAATTCTAGATAGAAATAAATAAGAAATAATTCGAAATTCTTTTAAAAAAAAGTTCGAAATAGCCAGAATTATAAAAATAATAGAAATAAATAAAATAGAAATAGCTAGAGCTATTATAAACTAATTTATTATAGCTATATAGTATTTAATATTATTCTCGAATTTAGTATTATAAAGTTTAGTATTCTCAAAAAGGCCCTTAATATCTTTATAATTTATTTTATATAAAATAGCTTTCTTGAAATTCTTCTAATAACTAATAATAATTAAATTAATATTTAAAAGCAAATAATTATTTTCTTTAGTCTATTTATATAATTTTTTAATAGTAATAAGCTAATTAGTATATAGAAGCTTTTAATAAAAGAAAAAGCCTCTTTTTTATAAATTTATTTAAAAAACTACTAGAAATATTAATAGGATATTTAATTCGAAAAGAGCTACTAATAAGATAATCTAAACTAATAGAAATCTTAAAAGAAATAAATATTATTTCGAATTATATAATATTCTGAGAAATTAATCTATTATACTTTTTTTCTATTATATCTTTTTTAGTAATCTCATTATTAATATATATATATAAGGCCTATAAAGTTATAGAATAGAGCTTGAAAATAGTAATTAGATTATTAGTTTATAAATACCTATTATTCTAAAACTTAATTAAAGAATAGCCTTTATTAAAAGTCCTTTAATTTTCGAGCTTTTAGAAAGATTTCTAATATATTATTAATATATATTTATAAAAATATAAATATTTGATTTCTCTAAGAATTCTAAAGCTTTTTATTTCTATTATTCTAGAATCTATTATTTGTATCTCTAAGGTTCTATTATCTTAATAATATCTATATTTCTAATAGTTTTAAATTAGTTTATTTGAAATTCTTTATAGAATTAAAAAAAATAAGTTTTAAATACTATTATAAATATAATATTTAGGGTTTAGAAAGCAAAATAGAAAATTTCTTATAAAAATAATTTAAAGCTAAAAAAGAGAAAACTAGAATATAAAAGACTATAAAGAAATATATATATTTTATAATATACTAGTTCTAAAAAAACTTAGTTTTCTAAATATCTCTAATATATTTCAAGTATATTTTTTTAATAAAGCAATTATATTATATATATCTAGAAATTATAATATTATATATTTCATATATTTCATATATTTTATAAAGTTTTCTAATAAATTTAATACTTTTAAAATTTAAAATTATAATAAATTATTAGCTAAATTATAGGTTTTTTTTAAATATCTTTTATATTTCTAGTAAGTTCTTAATTATTTTATAATAAACTATATTTTATAAATTAAATTAATTAATATATAAAACATATAATAATAGAATATTATATAAAGAAATAAGTAAAATATAAAATATAAAATAAAATATAAAAATATAATTAATTTTAAGAATTAGGTTTAATAAATAAATTAATTAATACTTATTTTTAAAGCTTTTATATATCTTTATATATATTATTTAGTATTTTATTATAAGTATAAAAGTTTTAGTTTTAATTAGAAAATATAACTTTATATATATATTAGCCAAATTAGATTATTAATATATATATTATATTTAATATAAACTTTAAAGAAATATAAAAGCTTTTAAAAATAAATAAAGCTATATTTAAATAAATCTAATAGCTAAAATAAAAAAAAGAATTTCTATAAATTATATTAAGGCTTTAATAATTTATATTAAAAAATTAATTAAATTAGAGAATTAATTAATTAATATAATTAATATAATTCGGATTTTTTTTAATTAAATTAATTAATATTTAATTAATTATATAAAAAGAAAATTCCTTAACTTTTTTATTTTTATTTATTAATAATTAAATTACTTTATAATTTATTAATAATACTATAATAAAGAAGCTAAATTAAACTGAGAATTAATTAATTACTTTTTTTTTAAAAAAATATATTCTAGTTTTTTAAATAAGATATTTTCTTAAAAATACTTTTATTAAATTTAATATATAATATAAATACTAATAAAATTATTAAAGATTTTATTAATAGATATTAGAATTTATTATATATAATTTAAAATTACTAAAATTACGAATTTATAATTTTTATTTTCTTTTAATTATTACTTTTAATACTTAATATAATACTTATAATATATTATATTTAGTAAATTATATTTTTCTTTAGCCTAATAAAAGAACATAAAGCTAATATTATAAAGAAAACGCGATTTTATAATACTTGAAACTATAATTATAATAATAAATTAATATAATAAATTATAAAAGATTTACTAAATTTAAAAAGCTTTTAAAAGTTATAAAATTATATATTAAATACTTATTAATTTAAAGTAAAATTTAGTTTATAAATAAAATATTATAATATATTTATTTAAAAGAAATAATTATAAAGGAAATTAAAGAAATACAAATATATATTTATTAAGAAAATAATTTCTAATTTCCAATTTCTAATAAAAATATAAAAATAAACTAATAAAGGATTTTTAAAGCTATATATTCTTTATTAATAAAGTATATATTAATTCTATATTATAAGTAATTAAAAATATTTTATAAAAATAAAAATATTTTATAAAAATAAAAATATTTTATAAAAATAAAAATATTTTATAAAAATAAAAATATTTTATAAAAATAAAAAAGTATTATATAAATAAAATATATAAAATATATAAAAAAGAATAAAGAAGCTAAAAATATACTTTTATATTATTATTTGAGTTATTTAATAAAATAATATAAAGAAATTAAAGTTTTATAATAATAAAGAATTATATATTATTTAGTCTATAATATTTTTAAAATCTTATTAATATTTAAAAATTAAATTAGAAAATAAATATTAAGCTAAATTTAAGAATTAAAAGACCTAATAATTATATAAGGCAAATATTAAATTCTAAAATAATACTATAATATAAAAGTATTATAAAAAGGATTTTTTACTAGTTTATATTAAAGTTATTTATAAGGCACGCTTATAAAACTCAAGAAACTAGCTTTTATAAAAGAATAAAAATCTTTTTTATAATATAAGAAAAGAAGACTTAATAATTAAATTAAAAGAGAATTATTAATTTATTAATTTAAAGTATTTTAAATAGAGTCTTAATCTAAATCTAATTAAGGCTATTTGAAATATTATTAAATAATAATTATATTAAAGAATCTTTTTTTAAAAAAATAAAGAAAGAAAGTATTATAAAATAAATAAAATAATAATAATAATAATAATAGAAATATAAAAGTATATTATTTAAATACTTATATAATATAAGTACCTTATTAGAAATAATAAAAAGCCTATTAAAAAAGTATTATAATAATATATTTAATTAATTTTTAATTCTTCTAATTTTTTAATAAAATATAAGGCTATATAGCAAGTTCTAATACTTACTAATAATTCTAAATATTTCTTCTAATTAGAACTTTTTTATTAAATCTAAAGTATTTATTATTAATAAAAGTTAATTTTTAATTATTTTATTTATAATTAATATAATTTATAAGAAAACAGGGCGAGAAGTACTAAAAACTGGAGGTTCTAAATACTTTGCTTAGCTTAGTAGGCGGCCGCTTAGGCGGCCGTAGCCCTAATACAGTAAAGCGTACTCCTAATATAGTTAGACTAAACCTCATTTTGGCCTTATCTCGGCTTCTAGCCCTCCGACGTTATGGTGCTACTACGTGTCTAATCACGTGCTTCATTAATCAAATTAATCAATTAATAATTAATTAATCTAATTAGATTATGATTAGAATATAATTAATTGCGAAATCCTTTGATTAGATTAGATTAATGCCCATTAATCTAATCTAATCATTTGACACACTGATGCTAGGTGCGTTACAACAGGCAATTGGTCGCAAAGTCTTCATACGGCACCATCAGACAGCTCTTAGGTGAATTTTTGAGGTACGATGAGCAAAGAGTGAGACCAAATCCAAGTCGAACAGAATGGAAAACGAAGGAACTCTGCCTCGAGAACCCGAGGAAGTTCGAGTTTCGGGCTGTGGAAAAAGACATCGAGGCGGAGTCGTGCGCAGTCAAGCCTCTCGGAGAGAATCTGCCTCGTGATTGGCTGTCAATTCCCGAGCGTTTCCAATCGCTGCAACTGGAGGGAGCCTTGTATGGGATATTCCGCCCATGAAGATTATGCCGCAGGGGGATATTTCCGAGGCGGTGAGTCCGCTTATAAGAAGTGTCCGATCTCTCTCCCAGTATCGAAAAGAATCAGTCGTTGACTGTGCATTGTCAAAGTCCGTACAAGTGAACACGGTGCCAACAATTCCGAAGTAAGAAGCCAAGATCTCCCTCGAATTAGTCTAGACAATGCCGAGCGCGTTAGTAGCGGTAAGCGTTGTGGCCTTTGCATCTGTTTGTTCACTCATTAACGAACCGTAAAGAACGTCGACTGGAGGGTGTGGAAGCCTCCAAAAGATGAATCAGAGGACCCCACTTTGAGTTGCAGTAAGAAACATATCTTGAGCTTCTCAGGTCACCGGTCTGACAATTATATATCAAGGCCCTCAAGAGACTGATGGTGAGCGGGATCCAGACTATGGAAATTGATGTTGGATTCTCAGACTCGAAAAAACTTTGGAACGTTGGGAATTTGCGCCCTCGTGGTAATAACTCTTGAACGTAGGAAAAAGGGCTACGATTGTCAGCTTTCAGAGCCGTTTGTGTAAGATTGCATAGACAGAATAGGTTGGGATAGATAACTTGACCGTCCTCTCCTCAACATAGTCTGGGTTCAATAGTTCCAAATTCTGCGCTCCGATGATGCTATTGAATAATCTCAAATTGAAGAGCCTGGAGGGGAAGAAATGCCCATCGTTGTGGCTACCAGCTCTGAAGCTTACTGGGCAGGAGACTGCACCCTGACAGCCTCTCTGATTGGCGTATGCGAGCTGCAAGAGATCGAAGATTACAAGCCACCACCACGCCACAAATTCCTTCGAACGAAGACCAACCAGCTGAAACATGCTGGTGCCTAACCGCCTCAAATATCTTCGCGCCATTATTGTTCTTCAAGTTTAAGGACGCATCTTTGGCCTCGGGAACCAGTGTGACTCGAATTTCTTCCAAGCAATGCGCTGCGACTTATTCCACTTCTGAAACATTCACAACCTCATGCTTTCTCTTGTTCAGAAGGGACACGTCCTGATTTGACAGAATACGAGGCAAATTTCAGCATGGAGGACATCCTTGGTGTCACTATACTTCACGACCTGGGTCAAGAAGCGAGCTTCGAGTAAGGATGCACCCCTCCCGTCTTCCTTTTCTCTCGACGAAGTAGCATGACTGAGCGAGCTAGTCTAGTGGCAGTCCACGGAATTAAAGGTCATCCCTATCACACGTGGACCCACCCGAACGGAGAGAATTGGCTGGAAAAATACCTCCCGAACGATATCCCCAATAGTCGAATCATGACATTTGGTTACAATGCCCAGGTCTTCACATCCAGCAAAGGCTTTGTAAACGACTATGCGGAACAATTGCTACAGCACTTAACAAGCACCCGACGGTCAACAGACTCAACGGTCAGAGATACCCTTTTCTTCCTTGCAACAAGAGTGGCAAAAGTATTGACTTGATATAGCGACGCCCTATAATCTTCATCTGTCATAGTCTAGGTGGTCTTGTGTTGAAGAAGGCGAGCTGTCATTCTAGATAAAGTTGGAATTCCACGAACAGTTCTGACGATTTGTTACCAGGCTCTCCTTTTGGCTCAAGAGTCACACGATGCCGTTGACATCAGAAAATCTACCATAGCAGTGGCTTTCATGGGAACACCCCACAGAGGTTCTCCACTTGCTTCGTATGCAGATATAGCAGTAACTTGCATCAAGGCTGCCGGATTCAAGGCAAACACTGCGAATCTCCATCAATTGAGAATGACCTCCGACAGCCTTGACGATATAGGCTCACAGTTTGGATCGCTCTTGCAATTGGGGAGAATCAAAGTGTTGACATTCTATGAATTGAAGCCCATGAAAATCGCTGGCCTCGCGGAAGCTGCGGTGCGACGAAGACTTCCTGACACAACAAGCATCAAGCTAACCACTTGCAATTATAGGTCGTGCCTCCGTGGTCAGCTAAGCTAGGACTTGGCCCTCCGCTTGAAACGATAATTCCAGTTGATGCAGATCATCGCCAAATAGCCCAGTTTGCGAGCAGAGATTCTAAACAATATGGTGTTGTAAGATCGAACTTGTTGTTCATCATCTCCTCGCACAGCCAGAAGGAGCATAAAAATGGTAAGCCGACTTCAGCGACACGCAGGGGTGCTGCGTTGAGGTTCCCCTAACCCACTCACAATCAAGCGACAGTGGGATAGGTTGCTTCCTCATTGCTGCTAATTCTAATACAGACGCTAATGATTTTAAAGGCAACTCTTTGAAGGATGCGGACTGGAATGATGTTCTCTTATGGTTGGATTCGCTTCGGACCCATTTAGGATCCGCTCTACACAAGGAACGAGCTCAAAGCACTTGCCAATGGGTCCACGAAAAACAGCCCTTTCATCATTGGAGAACTTCGGGACAGTCCGAAGGACTCTGGATTTTTGGAAAACCAGGTAGAGTGACCCGAATCACTGACAGCACGTTCGGCTTGGATTAAGAGAGCTAGGCTGATTAGTTTGTGTAATTCAGGAGTCGGCAAAACAGTGCTCTCGAGTTACATTTCAGAAGCCTTGAAGTCCGAGAATAGCCAGATAGTCATCACCCTGCATTGTCATTCGTATCGTTCACTGAATGACCCCATCCACGCTCTTATCCGCGATATTCTTGTTCAGGCCTTACAAACTCCATTTCTGTCTGTCAACGTCAAACGCCGACTTTTGGATCTCAAATCGCAGACGACTGCCATGTCGGATATTGCCTTCGACGCACTTCTCGAGGTTATCCATGACACTTTCCATGGAGTCCCAGATATATTCCTCATTGTTGATGGTATTGACGAAATCGATCAACAAGCAGCAGAGCTCGAAGCTTTCTTGCACGAACTCGAGAGTCTTTCGCAATCAGCAACTCTGTGCAAAGCATTGATCGTGAGCCGCAATACACCAAAGCTGGAAAAATTGCTTACAGGTTGGAAAACAATGGCCATATCCTCTTCTGACTCCCTTCGCGACATCTCGGTGTTCTTGAATGAGAAGCTCGAAAACATGACACATTTGGGCCAACGCCGAGATGAAATCATCGAAAGGCTTGTTGAAGGTTCGAAGGGTTTATTTCTCTGGGCTGATCTGGCTGTGAGCGAACTTGACCATTTGAGAACTTGGAACGAGATCCAAAAGTTACTTGAGCATGGTAATCGTGGATTGGACATGATATATGCGACCATTATTAAGCAACTAGACACATCATCCGAAGGATTATGCCGAATACGAGCCAGAGCTCTTCCACTGGTCGCTGTTGCCTGTCGCCCCTTTCGGCTGGAGGAATTAACGGAATTGTTAGCCGTGGAAGTCTCGAGAAGGTTCGTTGATCCTGGAGATAGACTTCTCGGTGGCTGGACTACTTTGTCTCGAGCCTGCGGGCCGTTCCTTCAGATCAATGAACTTGGCGCCATCGAGCTTATTCATGTATCTGCCAAAGACTTCTTACTATCTCACCCGTCGGCGATGGCTTCGCCGCAAGAATATCTCCTGGATGGTTCGGCCGAAACCGAGATGGCATGCCTCTGTCTCTCATATCTCAATCTTACCGTTTTTGGTAGAATGCCAGGAGAAGATGCGAAAATGGATGCCAATACCCTAAATCAGCAACATCCATTGTTGGAATACTCTTCGCAATTCTGTGAGTACCGCTGCATCATCTGGAACCAACAAGAGCTGATTATAGGATAAATTTAGGGCCGGACCATTTCCTAAGGTCGGACACCATAACTTCCTTGCAGCTGGGGCTGCTATATCAATTTTTGAGCTCTCCCAACAGTGTCACCTGGACTACGACCTTCTATCCGCATTTCTCTATGAAATGCGGGGAAACTTTCGGAACAGTACTCAGTTCTCAACAATCAATCCTCGCAAATTTGCAGAAGAAATTGAGACTTTCAGTGGGCGTCGATGCATTGCTCTCTAAGCGCTGCATTGATAAGTGCGGTCGACTCTTGCTAGAGTCAACCCAAGATGCTCTGCGTGTGGAACAGTTTCATTCAGGGCCCGCGGCAAGGGAAACGCTTAAAAAGAAATTACGATTAGCAGAATGTTATTGCGCATTGGGCGAAATAGATGCAGCAGCCGAGATTTCTTCAGAAGCTCTTGAGGCTGTACTCGACACGTTTGGTCGCATGAATACCCTAACTCTGCATCTTCGGCGCATGACACTTTATGTGCAAGTGCGAATCCACCAGAGGTCATCTAGCAGGGATGCGCATGACGTGATTCCACAACTCAACGGATTGGTCGAAGACCACATCGAAGTATTCGGTCCAGATCACCACGAAACCCTGGGCTGCCGCCACGATATTGCACTTACACATCTTATACGACGGGAATTCACAGAAGCCAGGACAATTCTCGAGCCTCTACATCGAAGGATGGTTGAGATCCTCGGTCGAACTTCACGAGTAACCCAATCAGTTGCCAATAACTTGGCTGCATGTGCAAACATGCAAGGTGAATATGACTACGCAGAATCAATACTTTACACAATCCCAGGACTTTCGAAAGCTGCTGCCGAGCCTTTGGAAATCGACATCACAAGTGTTCCTTTGGCCACTCTCCATGCTCTGTCCATTCTTGCAGCGGTGCTCGGGGCGAGGAGCGAAGACAGGAGATCCGAAATTCTACACCAGCGTGTCATTGACGCATTTCTGGTTGTAGCGGGCCCCAAATCCAGGAGAATGTACGAGAGTGCAATTAACAAAGGGCAAGCATTGCGGGATCAGTACAAATACACAGAAGCTCGAAAGCACTATTTGGAGTGGCTGAAAAAATCAGATCAAAATTTCGGACCAGATTCAAAGCACTCTCGCGAGATGAGAAAAAGGCTGATCGACTTAGATCATAAAGAGAGAAAGTGGAAAGAGATGTCTAGGAGTTTGAAAAGTCCGGTTGTTCCGGGACTACCTGCTTGGAAGAAGTTCCCAAAATTTAGTGCTGTGGCACTTATCGTGGCGTCCGTGGTGGCTGTCTTTATTTCGATATATTTTGCTTAGATGGCGAGTTCTTGTTTTTGTTTTAGCCGAGTTAGGGCTTAGTAGTGTTATACCCGTGCCGGGGTCTTGCGACCTCAGACACTGCCACCGGGAGCTATATTACGGAGTCGAACCCCTTTACTAATATTGCACTATTATTAAGTTATTTCAGAGAACGAGTTATAAGAAGCTATTAGGCTTTTTATATGTCTTCTCTCGTATTTAGTAATTTAAGTACTAAAATTATTAGTATTACTACTAATACTTATTATTAGTTATAAGGTCTAAGTTAGTAATATAAACAAGTTTGCTTAAATATTTAAACTTGTATTTAGAAGACTTAACTAAGTAATTAATATATCTTTAAGATTCGATTTATACTTCTCAAAAACTTAGAGAATATTATTTAAAGAAATAAAGAATAAATTTACTTAAATATTTATTATTAAAAAACAAGTAAGCTTTCTTAATACTCGAAAATTATATAAGTTTTATTCTTATAAATCCTTAAACTTTAATAAATTATAATTTTTATTAAAGTATATTTTACTTATATTCAGAAATCTATTTATTATAATTGTCTTTTATATAATATTTAAGAATATTATAAATATAAATTTCAAGCTCTAATATTAATTTAATTTATTAAAACTATATAAAAGTAAAACTATTTATAAGTATTAAGCCCTTATTAAAAAGAAAACTTGTTATTTATATTTAGTTATATATATTTTACTTTTTAAATTAAGAAATATAAAAGCTATAAAAAAGTTTAGAAATATAAGATTTATTTAAAATATATCTTTTTTTTAAGTATTTTTATAATTCTCTTACTTTTTATTATATTACTTTTATAACTTTATATTTTCTTTAAATATAACTTTGAAAAATAAAGTTCATTTTATAAATAAAATAGTTTTAATAATATAATAAATTTTAAAAAATACTAGTTCTAAGAAAAGATTTATTATAAAAAATTATTTAAATTAAATTATTTATTTTATTAATTATAAGAATAAAATATATTTAGTAACTTATTTTAATATTACCTAATATATTTCTTTTATTAAAATTAAAAATAATTTCGAAGCTTAAATTTAAGCTAATATTAAAGCTTTTAAATTTTTTGAATTAAATTTATAATTATATATTATTATTTTATTTTAAAATATTTAATTTATTATTCATTAAAATTATTTTTAATATTTGCTTGCGAATTAATTTCTTAATTAAAACTAAATATAATAATTATTTCTTTAATATTTTTAAATCTAGTTTAGAAATAAAATTAATAATTAAATTTGAGTTTTAATTTATTTCTTAAATTATTTTTAATTATTTTAAAGTAAAATTATTTTTATTAAATAAAAAACTCTAATTACTTTTAATTATATGCGTTTTATAAATAAGAATTAAAAGAAAAACCTTTATTTAGTTTTTATAAACCTTATAGCTTTTTTTTAATAATAATAAGAATTTAGAAAATAAAGTTTTTTAAATTAAATTAAATTTTTAAAGTATAAAACTTAAAGCTTTAATATTTTTTATTAATATAAACCTTTCTAAATTAAATTAAATTTAATAATAATTAATTATTATTAAATTAATTATAATATTTATTAGTATAGCTATTCTTTCGGGAATTATATATATAATTATAGAACTCGAAATATAAATAATAAAATATAAAATATAAGATATAGTTATATAATTTTGAATTTTATAAATAACTTAATTAGTAGCTAGTTCTTATTAGACTTAGTAGATTTAAAAATTATATATTAATATTATAATACTATAATTCTTATTTTTAAATATTAATTATTTTACTAATTTATATAAATAATATTTTATAATTATATAATAATACTATATATTACTAGTAAACTAATACTAATTAGTTAGTACTTATAGATTAGAGAAAGATTTAGCTAGTTAAAAAAGTATTTAATAGCCTAAAATAAATAGTTTATTTCTAGTTAAAGAAAGAAATTACTATTAATTCCGGAAAAGTATTTAGTAGCCTAAGAAAAAGATACTAGATCTTACTAATTAATAAGTAATTAGTTAATTAACTATTTATTTATTTCAATTTTTATTATTTTTTAAAACTAACTTCTTTTAGTCCTAAAATTATCTTTTTAGAAATTATTTTTTCTATTTATATAATACTCGAATTTATAATATTATTTTTTTAAAATATATATATTTATATATTCTTAAAAGCTTTTTAATTATAATTATTATTTTTTTATTAAATTAAATCTTTTAAGCTTTAGACTTTCTCGAAATTATAATATTTTATTTCTTAAATTTCTTATTATAAATAAAATATTTATTTTAATTAATATTCTTATTACTAAATCTCTTTTATAAACTTATTATAAATTATATATATATATATATATATATATATATATTAGAAAGAAACTAAACTTAATTTAATATAAATAATAAAAAGGAAAAGAAGCTAATTAAGAAATAGAAAAATAGAATTAATATTATTAATATTATAAAAATAAATCTTTGCAAATATCTAAATATTAAGCTATATTAGTATATTTTATATAAAACTTCTAATAAGAATCTATAGGATCTATTTAAGAATAACTTTAAGAATTTTAATAATATAACTTTTAATTAATATAATTATAGTAAATTATAAGGCCTTTAGAAATACCTTTAGTATAATAATATTTGTATTAAATAGAATTATATATATTTTATTATAATATAATTTCTATTTAATATTATTTAGAAAAAAAACATATTTAATATAAAGCTAATATTATTAAAAACAGCTTAATTAGAATAAATTTTCTAAAGAAATCTATTATATTAGTTTATTTTATTTTAAAGGAAACTAAATAAAAGGAAATTAAGTATTCTTAATTAATTAATTAAATTAAGATATTTATTTATTTTTATTACTTTTATTAGATTTATTAAGTTTAAAGAACTCTTAGTTAATATTTACTATTATTACTAGAAAGCTTATTAGAGAAATATTAAAAATATATTTTAAAATATAAAAATATAATAGAACTAAAAGTAATTTTAATTATAAACTTAATATTTTTCTTAATATTTATTAATATATAAAACTTTTATAAAAGGTACTAATAAAAGCTTTCCTTATTATATTAAAAAAACTAGTATAAAACTACTTTTATAATAATTAGTTCTTTTAATATATATATAAAAAGATCTATATAAATATTTATAGCTTTTTTAAAGATTCCGGTTTCTAATATCGAAATTTAAATAAATAAAATACTATTATTTTAGTAATTATAATAGCTAAATATCCTGGAAAAAAATATTTAAGCTTATTTAAATACTAATTAATAACTTATATTAATTATAATATATTTTTATTTTTATTTTATAAAATATCGAATTTCTATATAATAAAATAATTATTTTTTATTAAAGTTTACTAATATGCTAATATATAGTTTCAGACCCTAATTAATAAACTCGGCTAATCTATTAATTAGCTTTAATTATTTATTACTATTTATAAAAAGAAGTAATAGATTAATACCAAAATTTATTTTATTATTTAATAATATTACTTTTAAATTCTTTAAGCTATTATTTATTCGGAAATTATTAAAATAGATTTAATTATAATTTCGAAACCTATAATAACTATTTCAAGTCTTATAATTATAATAATTATATTTCGAAATCTTGTTTTATATATAAAAGATTCAAATATTATTTCTAGAAATATATATTAAAGAAATAAAAGATTAAAAAGACTCGATTTAAGAATAGAAATATTTACTAATTTAGATTCTGAAATT